AGGAACTAAAAAAAATTTAAAATACACCAATATTGAAACAAATTCTATTATGATGGAAACAGAAATATGTTAAAGCATGCAATGAACTTAAAATAACAAAGTCCTACCTAAACATGGTTGTCAAGTGGATGACACACTGTGGATCCCATCTGCATGAAAAAGACCATGTATTGTAAATAAAAATATTTTTCAGTCATCTGCAAATCATTTAATCTCTACATCACAAACTGGTAATTGGACTAAAACAGCCCAAAAGACGTTGGCACTGAGGTACTTCATCATGATCCCTTTCATTACATGACCATGTAATTTCTAATAAATTAGGCATGAACTGGCATCTAAATAATAAAATACTACCAAAAACATTTACAATATATATTTGCATATCACTACATATATCAAATGTGACATGTCCTCACCTGCTCGAGCAGAGGCTGTTAATCAGCTGCTTCTTATACTCCTCACCACTGAGTTCCCCTAAAGTTATAATAAAAAATTGTGTTTTAGACCTTATAGATTGTGACATATGTGATATTACGTTAGACAACAATGTTGATCACAAAGTACCTTTGCCATAAGACAAGGCTTCACATGCTGCAAGTGCAGTAAGAACTGTAGGAAACAGTTCCAGAGATTTTCCACTGCTCATTTTCCCCACTTTGATGGCATCAACAAAAAGAGACCCCAGTGTTGCAAGAGATGGCCCGGATAGTGTATGAGTCTGTGTATTGTATTAAAACAATCATTCTCATTCATATGAAAAAAGAAAGTGTCACAATATATTTCTACTTAGCTAATTCAAGTAGTTATAAATGATAGGATTGCAAGTCAGATCAGGAGAAAAACACACTTATTTGATTTAATCAACCAGTTACACGAAATCAACATATTTTAATTTGTAAATCCATGTTTCACTTTGATTACATTAAACCATATTTGGATATAGCGTACATCAAATCTATAATAACTTCTGTATAACATAAATACCTCCAGCATAAGCAACCCAATGATATCTGCTGCCACCTCAGTCTGAAGATCCCCAGACTCACACAGAGGGATGCAGTGCTGATACAGGAGAAGTCTACGATTTGCCCCAGCAGTGGAGCTGGGTGGAGAACCTAAACAACAAGCACAAACTGTACATTTATTACATACCTTATCATCAAGCAGAAGGTATGCATATATGTTAAATGATTCTGACATGGTGTATGAGTGAATTATATTACCTTAGCTATCTTGCGATGTTTCACACTTACAAGAATGAATGTGTACAAACCTTTAAATATGCCTTTTATTATGGTCCCAACCTTCTTGCCCTTCAGTGCACTATTGGTAATCGTGTTGATGAGCTAAACATTGTGTGATAGATAGTAAGAGTATTTTATAGGTAAAACAGACATGACTTTGGAATTTCCAAATGTGTCGCCCTTAGTTTGTAAAATAACTTACCTGGTCATCGGTCAGGGTTGAAAGGTATTTCTGTAGTTCGGGGATATTTTCTTCATTTGACAGTGAGGCAATTTTATCCATTTCTGCTTTCATTGTCCACCCACAGATTGACACAAGTGGCTAGCAACTGTAGAATAAGCTAGAAATCTATCTCGTAAATCTCAGTAAGTTTATGAACGTTATTATTTTATTTTACGTCTACTTATCGATTATCTAGTTGCATTTAATCCTGGGCATCCTGTTTAAATTAGTTGAAGGTAAATTACTCCGTAATATTATAACTTTATCGCTGTTGTGTTTCTAAAAAGTTTCACACGAACTTCCCGCCAGACGACACTTCCTGTTTTGCTTTGTGGTTGCCATGTTCAACTCAGACTCCCTCAATCACGTTATAATCCAGGTCACATTCCTCTGTACGGCAAAATGCGTATAATGTAAAAAAAAAAATAGTTTTCCAGTAACTTGGAATAATATGCTAGCATAACACAATTTCCATATAGTTTCATATCTGAACGGAAGGAGTAGTTTGATCAAATTTACATTTGGCGGAAAACAGTCATCACTTCAGCCGTGGCAACCACATTTGCAACCACGAGGTTTATAAATGGGTTACTTGTCGGTAAATATTTGGACATACGCTTACTGTTTATGCATTCCAGTTAAATATCATGTGTCGTTGTTTTGGTTAATGTCTTACACGTAATGTTCGGTTTCTGGCAATAAATCTCGCTAGGATCTTTTAGCTTTAGGTCAGGAATAACCAACGCGGGCTTTTTCTTAGTGTTTCTTGAAATAGTAACGCGATAGTGATTCATACCAGATCGGGCCAGTGGCGCAATGGATAACGCGTCTGACTACGGATCAGAAGATTCTAGGTTCGACTCCTGGCTGGCTCGTGAAATCTTTTTGGTTTTGTAAAATTTAACTTTTGCTCTCCTGTTTGCTAAATGTGTTACAAGTTTAGTGGCTGCATTGAAGTAGCGAATGCCATTGATTCAAACATCTAAAACCATGTATAATGTATAATTATACATATATGAAAATTATAAGACCATGTATTGTCCACAAAGGTATTTTGCGTAAAAACTATATAATTGGGATACTTTAAAACCGGATAATATGTATAGATTATTATTTTGTATTGAACACCATATTTTCAACCTGTTTCATTTTCTGAGGCGCGAGGAGCCCGATGTTAAAATGTCCACCTTTGGAGTTTAAACAAACATGTTTGGGTTTTTTTCTTAAAGGTAACACAGTTGTTTTTATTGTATTAATGCCGAATTATTAATTGTGTTACTTTTGGCTACTCTAATAAGGTAGGTTCTCTATAGCAGTCTGATATATAATGAATAAATAAAAAACTGGGTCACATCCTGCAAGAAACACTATCTGTGACAGATAAAAGGAGAAAGCCTCATATGATGAAGCACTCTTTCTGTCTCTTGGCTCTTTGCTCACATTTCTGAGAATCTGTGTGGTGTTGTGTCGCCTGGACCATGAAGTTCTATGCAAAGCAGACTTTGTCTTTTCTGATATCAGTTTTACTCCTCTGTGTTATTGCAGATCTTCAGGGTAAGTAGGAGAAAACCTTTTTTAGGAAAATGACCGCTGTGACAACACTTAAATTATGTCTAATTTACGCCTTTGTATTTGTTTATCCTACATATAGTGCATGTTTTTCATTGTTTGTTTAAAAAACATCTGTTTAAATCTAGCACTAGTAATAAATCATCACTCAGTGGTATTATGACAATAATATGCATAATGCCGCAAATAAGAATGAGAACAATGTCTCTCTTTGAAAAAGATCCTAACAACATTATTTATTTAAATCGAAAGATATCAAACAATCATCACTCAGTGGTTTTATGACAATGACAGTCATAATAAACTGACCATTAAATATTACATGTACTTAATGTTAATCAGATTGTAGCTCAAAGAGGAATGAACAAAAAGTTGAGAGTTTTTTGTACCTATTCTAATCAGAGTGTGTGTCTGTAATCTGAGCAGCACAGCACCCTGACGGGTGAAAGAACACGTTTCCTATTGCATGCCATTCTGAACATGAATACAGCTTTGAAGCAGTGGTTTGCCACTTTCCCTTAATACTGAATTTATTTAAATAACACAGGTCAACATGTCATAATCATCACAGGTATTTTTATTTGGGATTTGTAGTTCTTTTCATGCTGATTTCAAATTTGGGTTTAATTTTTTGTCCAGTTATTTCAGTACCTTGCTCAAATATTTTCGCACCGCAAAAATGAAGGTGCATCAGCACAAAGACTGACAGACTCAAGAATAGTTTCTTCTCAAAAGCCACACTCAAGGTCACCTGGTCCAGCCCTAACTATATGCTTTAGCAAAAAGGAAAGTTTTAAGCCTAATCTTAAAAGTAGAGATAGTTTCTGTCTCCCAAATCCAAACTGGAAGCTGGTTCCACAGAAGAGGGGCCTGAAAGCTTTCCCTCCCATTCTACTTTTAAATACTCTAGGAACAACAAGTAGGCCTGCAGAGTGAGAGCAAAGTGCTCTAATAGGGTGATATGGTACTACAAGGTCATTAAGATAAGATGGGGCCTGATTATTTAAGACCTTGTATGTGAGGAGCAGGATTTTGAATTCAATTCTGGATTTAACAGGAAGCCAATGAAGGGAAGCCAAAAGGAGAAATATGCTCTCTCTTTCTAGTCCCTGTCAGTACTCTTGCTGCAGCATTTTGGATTAACTGAAGGCTTTTCAGGGAGTTTTTAGTACATCCTGATAATAATGAATTACAGTAGTCCAGCCTGGAAGTAATGAATGCATGAACTAGTTTTTTAGCGTCAGTGTCTAAATGAATATCAATTTTTACTAAAAGTAGCTGTAGATAATATTACATCTGTGGGATGATTATTGTTAATTTTTTCTCTAATGATTAAAATTTTAATTGTGAAGAAGTTCATGAAGTCATTACTAGTTAACAATAAAGGGATGGTTGGCTCAATAGAGCTGACTTTTTGTCAGCCTGGCTACAGTGCTGAAGAGAAACCTGGGGTTGTTCTTATTTTCTTCAATCAGTGATGAATAGTCAGATGTTCTGGCTTTGTGGAGGGCTTTCTTATAAAGCAACAAACTATTTCTCCAGGATAAATGATGATCTTCTAAATTTGTGACACGCCATTTCCTCTCCAGCTTACGAGTTATCTGCTTTAGGCTACGTGTTTGAGAATTATACCACAGAGTCAAATACTTCTGATTTGAGGCCTTAGTTTCCAGAGTCATACGTAGTGAGGAGGTAAAATTATTAACAAGATATGACTCATGACTCCTTCTGTGATTGCTATAGGGCCACTGGTGCGCTAGGAATGCACACACTTCAATGTTAGACTTTTTCTACGGTCTGTATATCATATCATCTTGTCATAAGTCTTTAATATTGGAGGCATTACAGCAACAACCCCCTTTTCTTCATGTTGTGAGGAAAAGGCTCTGATCAAACTGAGGCATGATGGTGATAAAAGGTCATCTGCTTTCAAGACATTAATAAAAGTGTCTTATAAAAAGATGTTTAAGTCAAAAAATGCATTTTGTTCTATCAGCACTGGAGATGAGCACATTTCAGGGAACTTTGGCCTGCTGGACCAGGTTGAAGCTCTCAAGTGGATCCAGCAGCACATTCACAACTTTGGAGGAGACCCAGGATTAGTTACCATATTTGGAGAGTCTGCTGGTGGAGTGAGCGTGTCTCTTCTGGTAAGAATCTACAGTTAGAGAAACTTTATATAAACCTTTTCACTAATGTCTTCTACAATGTTTATTTGAAGCCTTTGATTTCTCCCTCAGCTCTGTTCATGTTATCACATCTTTAACTTTTGTACATTTTACTCTCTTAAGGATCCAAATTTGAGATTTCAGGTAAATGTTGATGGACATTTCCTGACTAAAGCTGTGGATGAGCTGTTTCGTAAACATGAACTCCATGCTGTTCCATTCATGACTGGTGTCAATAATGATGAAGGTGGATGGATGCTTGCATCAGTAAGTGTTGTAGAAGCCTGTGAATAAAGAGCCCAGTGGTTACAAACAAAACTTATGCCAGCAATTTTGAAACTTTAATAGTGGCTTTGTATTTTTTTTTAGGTTTTTGCTCCCCAAAACTGGACAGAAGGACTAGATCGGGAATTTGTTTTGAACATGGTGTCCTTCTTCTATCCTGACGTAAGGCAGACACCACTTGATGTTGCAATATTACTGTTCCCTGACCTGCTCAAGCTTCTTTGATTGATGTGTTGCTTATTTCTTTAAGCCTAAAGCAGCATTTATCAGCGATGTGATAGCTGATGAATATATCGGAAATGGTGACGACTGTTTGAAAAACAGAGATGGGTACACTGAGATGCTTGGAGATTTGTTTTTCACCATTCCAGCGATTAAAGCTGCTAATGCTCACAGAGGTAATTTAATTTGTTTAATGAAAGATTATACAAATTTGTTTAAAACCCAACACTTGATGTTTACTGTTACACACGTTCATTAACAAATATCACACACATTCGTCTAAGTATTTCAGCTGCCTGCTCCTGTATACCTGTATGAGTACCAACATCCTCCCAAATTCCTGCAGCAGAAAAGGCCGAGCTTTGTTGGGACTGACCACGGAGATGAAATGTTTACAGTTTTTGAACTTTGCTTCACAACTACCCATGTAAAATTAGCCGGTAAGAATTCTCTGTAAAAATCTCTGTCTCAACACAGTACTGCATTTGTTTTGTTTTCCCTGTGTTTGAAAAATATGTTTTGCAACATGATCGTTTTAGATCCGTGCCCTGAGAATGCGGAACAGTTGAGCAAGATCATGATGAGCTAATTGGGGAACTTTGCTCGCACAGGGTAGGAATTTCCAACTGTTGTAAATTTCACATTTCACACATTTAATAACTGAATAACAAATGTATGTCTGTTCAGATCTCCTGATGGGCAAAACCTTGTCCACTGGCCAAAGTATGAAGCAGAAGAAAAGTACCTGGCGATTGGTTTAAAAAAGCAGGTAACTGCTCAGCACCTGAAGAAGGAGCGCTTTGTCTTCCTGACTCAGACCGTCCCAGAGAAGATCAAACAGCATGAGGAAAATGCAGAACGCAGCGA